GTACGCGATTCACCAAAGGATGGTGTTAATTTCTTTTCCTCATATGCCGAGTTGAAAATGGCTGCAAGTATTGGAGACAATTCACTTTTAAAACATTTGTACCACTTGGCACAAACACCATCTGGTCCTGAAGATTTCCCGCGATTTAACTTATCAATCGCCTGTTCAACTTCAGATGCAGATATGGATAATTCCAAAGCGTTTTTCACTTCCTCGCTCACTTGCGGCATGCGTCATAAATATTCTTCTTTGAATCTTTCTAGGTTTACCTGTCTCCACGCAAAAAGGTTTTCAAAATAACTTGAAAATACGGATAAAAAGCTGTCGGTATCGGTTACTTCGTGACCATCCTTCTCTTTTTTTTTTCATATGATTCCGTCGAGCGTTCGTTTTCTCCACCCCTAATGCTCTTTTGGATGGCGCCTCTCGAGCCACTAAGGCCTCAGCCCAAGCGCAGGCGAGTGCACCACGGTAGCGTTCCTCGTCATGCAGTGCAAGTTTCTGCTTAATATTACGTATGTCAATTTTAAACTCTTCCGGTTGTTTGCACTCCAAGTCGATTAGTCTTTCCAAAGTCTTTTGGAGTTCTTTTTCTTACTTTTTTCTTTCGTAAATCAGTGCGCAAGAACGATCAATAGCTTTTATTTTTATTCGCTGCTTGAACTCTTCCCATTGTTCTGCAAGTTTAGCTTCATCATTCTTTTTTATTTTATTGATGCAGTTAATCACCTGATCTAAGTAATATTCGTCAGTGATCGAAGCGGAATTCAACTTGCACAGCTCCCATGAGAAAGTTCCACTTTTTGTTTTCTCTCCCATATCACATTTAACTAAACAATGATCACTGAAGTGTAGTGGGTAGACAGCATATGTCTTGCAGTGGGCTAATAACTCAAGCGAGACGTAAATGCGATCAAGGCGTGCATGGCTATTCCCCTGGAAATGTGTGAAACGCACACTCGCGTTCCCTTCATACAACTGCCCACGTCACCTAACTTGAATTCAGTAACTATGTCCGCTAGCGTCCTATTACTTTTATCGTGAATGGCGTGCCCGTTTGATTAATTCGCTCGTTGAGGACGTAGTTAAAATCACCAGTACAGATTTCCGTTCCAAAGTGAAGTGCTGCTTTAGGTTTGAAAAAAAAAGTGGTCGATCCTTCCAAATGGTTGGTACATAAATACAGACTATATGGCACTGACATTCATTGAATAAAAATCACAGGAAACCAATCTACCAGATGGGCAAGAGAAGGTGTCTTGCACTACCAGACCCGGTAACTTCTTAATGAACAAAACACAGCCTGCAGATGTGCCTATCACTTGACTTACAATTGCGTAGTAACGTTACGTCAACCTCAGCAACATGCCGCGGGTCTCTTACCCACCATCTACTTTTGTTTCTTGTACAGCTAGTACTTCCAGATCATGACCCACGAGCAGCCTGTAGACTTGGTTCTGTTTCCGCTTGGCGGCAAGACCTCGAACATTTTACGTTGGAACTCTAAGTGTCGGTGCAAAAGCCATGTCTACACAGTGAAGAAGTTAGCCCGGGGCATGATGCTTGCCTTCAGCGTCTAGCATAGAGCTAGGCATCTTCAGAGCCTCCAGGTAAACCCATGCCACTGAAGGACAAAGATGGCCAGTGTTTGTCCAATATCGGGTTGGGACGCAGCCTTGTGCTGCTGTGTCTTAATGAAGTCGCCTTCGCAGGTGGCCCCTCTTCATGCTCTTCACTGGACCCCTCACGCCGTCTTGCAGACTGTTCATGGGGTCTTTTGCTTGGCGCCCCACCACTGATACTCTCGCACGACACTGGAAGTTCGGTTAATTCCACAGGGTCAGGCTTCTTCGATGGGGTGCTTGTGAAGCCTCCCTCGGTTTTGCCGGCTGGCTCTTGAGTAACCTCCCCCGATGCTAAGTCAGTTTGTACTGTTGGCCCGTTACAACCAGTCGGTGTGGCTGTACGTGTTGAAGCTTCTGGATTCACCACGTCACCAGCGCCTTTCGCCGCGTCTTCAGCCTCGGTCGCATCCATCACCAACTCTGCTGTGTCTTCACCTTCAGCTGATCCGATAGCCGATGCATACGTGCGCATGCACTAATCTTCGCTGTGGCCAAGCCGTCGACAACATGAGCATCGGGGTACCTTGCACTCTCTTCTAACATGGCCGGTATCTTGGCAGCGCAGACACTATATTGGCCGCCCAGGTGCAACCACAAGTGCCAGTTCCCCAGCTACCCTGATATGATGCAGGAAATCTTCAACCTTCACGCCACTCTTGAGCTTAAGAAGCACAGACCGTGTGGTTTACCCCTTGTCGCTGACTTCTTGAACACGCCGATGCTCCCGGGTGACTTGTACGACCTTCCCAAAAGCAGCCAACGCCGTTCGCACGTCTTCATCGTTGACGCCATACAGCAGCTATTGAAGATGAGCCGCACCTGCTGATCCCGGGGGTTTACGATGATGCAGCGTCGACCCTTGATTTTCAGCTCTTTCACGTCCAGCAAGCGTCTCGTAGCGTCCGCGTAGTTCATGGTGACTGCCCAGACATGATTTATCTGGTAGGCCCCCTGCGCCAACACCCCCGGCAGCAGTCCTGCAGGTCCGAGCGCGTCTCGGAAATCTTCTACTCGATACGGTCTACCACGCATATCACCGTGTAAAAATACAGTGTTTTGCCCGACGCGCTCTTGGGTAGTGGTGGCAAAATATTCTATCCGGCGTCTTGGTCTTCGGTCATCCTGTTACCGCGGCTAGTATGTGCCGCGAACGCTGCTCCTACGGAGCACATGATCTTTGCGTCCGACGCGCGTGAGTGCCGACGAAAGAATAGAGAGTTTTAGTACTGCGGGATGGTGCTACGTACGCATCACGCAAGCGCCTTGCGTTACGTGGCGTGGTTTGCACTAATCGGCTTTTAGTACGCCGTAGTACCCGCGTACGTAATGAGCGTGGATCGTGTTGCGCCATCTGGTAGATCAAAATAAAAGCACGTGCTGTTGACAGCCAATGTGAGCCAATCCAAGTGTTATAGCCAGATTATGGCCATATTTTAAGCCACAGAGCCGGTCAGTGCTTGCCTCGATGCCGCTATTTTGCAAAACGAAGTCTCACGCTGTCGCGAACTTGTTCGAGAGCGGCGTGATCACCTCATACGTACGCACGCACGCATCTCATGCGTGCGTACGTAGCGGCTGCGTACGTAATGCGATACGTGCGCGTTGCGGTATGCGCGTGCGCACTACGCAGAACGTGGCATCCTTACGTACGCAACGCCGCCACGTACGCAGCGTAAGCAGTACTAAAACTCTCTAATGACTAAGCCATGCTGGTGCTTCGGACTTGTTAGCCAACGTGACTTAGGCAGGCTTGACTTCGGGGAAGCAATCGCCTTAATACAACGTATAAAGCGTTTTAAAACAGCGAAAGAACAACCGGTCATCGCGCAATGCGAACAGCGTAACAAGTGGGTTGCCCAATGCTCCAACCCATTACAAAAGGTTCTCCTTGTTCACCTACTAACTGTGGCGCATACCCACTTCGGGCATAATTCCTCATCGTCGTTAGCCACTGCATGAACAATTGGCACAAAATTACTTGTGTTTAGCGGATACCACGATTCTCAAAAGAATGACGAAAAACAGCGAATGCCGGACCGCTACCAAAAAAGCTTTATTATCGATGTTATATTGGGTATCAAGCAAGTGTGCTTTCAGCAGTTACCGAATGAGTGTTTGAAAGACTCTGAAAGGCCGCTCTTCTGGCTTTTGCTGTGACTGTGATGCATTCTCCGCACAGGCCTGTCGTTTCTATGCTATGATTGCACAATGGATTGTTGCTTTTTGCGGCACTATTTCCACACCAAAAGTAGCCTTTTTTCACTAACTGCTTTAAGTAATTACACACTGGCTATTTCAGCTGAAGTGGTTTGTTGTTTTTCCTTCAAAAAGCGTGTGATAGCTATAGTCGCCATGGCAGCTGCATGTTTTTTTGCTTTCTTTGCAATTCTGTGATAATTCCTTGCTTTGGCAACACTTGCAGCCTAGTCCTCTTCGGCACTGGTACAGCAAGTTGTCACAAATGGCTTAGCTGCTTGTTTATTGCGCCCACTGTTGCAGTACGTACAAGTGCTGTATATGCTTTGATAAGTAGACAAAGGGAACTTGTCATTCGCCCCTGTCTTGAAAACTTGTATTTTTGTTCTTGCTGTCTCATTGTTACATAGAAACGAACGAGACGAGTACACCTGCTTTTTTACACTTGTATTAACAGCAGTTCTCTCTGTTGCTGGCGGGACTTACTCACGTTTTTATAACAATTGGAAATATAGGTAAACAATTTAGATGTGGTTTTGCCGCTGGTGTCGCCATCCTGTCTTATATAAGTCATCATCGCTAATAACCCACATTTTATTGCATGTTATGCTGGTCGCCAAACACGGCTGCAGCAGAGATCATACCGTTGCTCCGTTGCTTTAACCTGGATGGCGCATGTGATAATATCACCGGGTGACTGAAACATACCCGCGGATGCTGGTCAAGCAGAAAAGAAACGCCCTAATCATCTTGAAGGGGCATAGAAAACACGAAGAGGGGGGAAGGCAAATAGAGGAGCGACTGTTAGTTTTGACTATAATAGCGTGGGGATGTTTGCTGGAGCACGTTATAGATATGTTGGCAGATCTCATAGGGTGGCTTGCATACCGTTCCATGTGCTGCAATCTCAGCACGACGACACCGCGCGAAAAGTGTTTCTCTCCTCAAGCGGCCCTATCCTCTTACACGAGTGTTTCGTAGGTTCACGCGAGACTGGGTACCAAGGAGTTTTCTGCTAGCCTTGCGTCTCATAACATTAAAGTTTGTTTCTCTCTCAATAATTATTTCATAAGTGCGGTGAAATTATGATTTATTCTCCATATACTCAATGTAAGAACACCCATTCCATGAAGGCCCCACGCCGTCACAGAACGATCGTTACTACATAGAGATACTTACCTTTGGCAATGGGCAAGCAGCGCGTGAGTGCGCCTGGACCGAGGCGGGCGTAATGTCCCAGCACCAGCTCCAGGTAGAGTAGTGGGTAGCCCTGCACCGGCAGGAGTACAGAGTATGCCAGCAGGAACGGTCCTGAACGCGAAACAACTGCGATCATATAACCGTTTTATAAATGCCGTGAACTAGGTGCTTTGTTAAGTGAGAAGTAATGTGCTTCCATTGCAGAGGCGTCCACTGTGATCTCTACAGTAGCCGTAAGGACGCTAATGAGCTACTAGGAAATGCGAGATACGTGCCTCCACCGTTCTCGTAGAGCAGCGCCGGCAAACGCCAGGAGCTGACGAGGCCGAAGGCCGTGCTGGCGCATGAGAGCGTCACGTGGAGTTCCGAGGCCCACTGCCGGTGCTCCGTTGGCGCTGGGGTCGCCAAAGAAACGTCTCTGCTGTAAGGAATACCACCGGACATGTCTTCCTGGAAGCCTGCTTGTTGTCTTATTATCGGCTTGGTGAGTGATGATGATCAGGTTGACGACGATGACGTTGGTGCAGGATGAAACGATCAAGCATTATTTTGTATTGTGTAGCCGCTTCAATTTGCTGGGGAAAAACATTCTTGAAGCGGCTTTTATCCAAATTACTTGGATATATTTATTTCAAATATTCTCTCCTTGGCAGCCCGCTCACAGGTCGTCGTTATCGGGATACGTACGTGTTCTTCTGTAAAAATATTCTTGACCGAATCAGGGCAGTCTAGGCCGCCTATTACTAAATTATTGAACTTTTTTTCTAATCATTTATATTTCTTTCAATATAGGAATAATATTTTGTTCCTTCTATTTAACTATTACTTTTTTGCTAATTTCCCAAAATGTATGTGAGCTATACATAAAGGCCGCCATTACCATCACATAATCATTGCATTTCGAACACTCTGGACGGCGATAACGACTGTGCTTGAAAAACATATCAGGAGGTGGAATTTTTTCAAGGGATGTATTTTCTTTGTGAGACACTACCAACTGAATTCAAGGGGAAGTTAGGAGAGACAAATTATGCCTGTTGAACCTCTAGAAATCACAGCTGTTGAACGCCATAACTATTGGACCACGAGTAAATAATCGAAGATTCTGGATGTAGACTGTACCCGCTGTAAAAAGTTATTTTCGTGCCATTAAAATAATTTACATTAAAATTGGAGCTCTTTAGGCCTTTCATTGAGCGGTGTTGAGCTAACGAAAGTTATCATCATCATGAATGGGTACACGTTCGCCTCATCCTCTACAACTTCTGCTTCGCGCACACAACACGTAAACTGGTAAGTGCCGCGTGGAATAGAAACAACAATTAGGACTATAATTTGCGTTTCACCATTCATTCATGGGAGTACCTGTTACGCGACTAAAAATCACAGAATTACGTAACAACTAGCCGCGAGCGCATTATGAGCGTTGCGTGTCATCGTGACTTACATAACAAGCATGTCATGATTTCCACATTAGAGTCAGTCACTTATGTTCACCATGCAGTTATGTCGTACCATGCTAGTATTGTAATATATTATGTGAACGAAACCACCACGAGAGCATCAAGACAGTGAACTGTAAATAAACATTCATGATATACATATCATTGATTGATATGTTGAATTTAACGTCCCAAAACAACCATATGATTACGAGAGACGCCGTAGTAGAGGGCTCCGGAAATTTCGACCACCTGGAGTTCTTTGACGTGCACCCAAATCTGAGCACACTGGCCTACAACTTTCCACTCTATCGGAAATGCAGCCGCCGCAGCCAGGATTCGATCCCGCGACCTGCAGGTCAGCACCCGAGAACCTTAGCCACTAGACCACCACGGCGGGGCATGACATACATATCGTGACTTTCATGTTATAGTTAGTCATTTTTGCTCGCCATACAGTCATGTTACTCCATACCAATTTTGGTATCGATACAATTATCGAAACGTCCAGGAGAGCTAAAAGTCATAGGCTGCTAGAAAGATCGACAGAGCGACAGACATACAGGCCGACCGGCCGACCGACCGACCGACCGACCGACCGACCGACCGACCGACCGACCGACCGACCGACCGACCGACCGACAGACAGACAGACAGACAGACAGACAGACAGACAGACAGATACGCTCAAAGTCGCCGAAATAGATACGCTCAAAGTCGCTGTCTGTTTGTCTGTCTGTCTGTCTGTCTGTCTGTCTGTCTGTTGATTCATCCCTCCATCTGTCGTCTGTCCGTCCCTCTGTCCGTTTTTTTTTTCGTTTGCAACGAACTGCCAACGCGGTGCTCGAGCAGCCCCGCTGGTAAGAAGCATTGGGAATGTAATTCTTAAAGCTAATTCTGACACTGTATCTTCTCGCCACGTGCACGAGCAGCCACGTCATTATCACTGCCACTCCACTGCGTGGCTTCATTGGGAAAGCAAAAGTGATCGTTCTGTGTGTTTGTGTACCTCGCATTATTACAGCAGACGCATAAAGGCACTGCAACACATACTGCATCCAGACATCACGCCAGTGTTGTTGGCAGTAGGCGGGCATGCCAAAAATTTCATGATTGTCACATGAAATATCACATGAGGATAGCAGTGTGGCACACTTGACGCGATACGTGTCTGTAAGATAGATCGTTATCATGAAGTTAAAATGAGCTTCAAAAATCAGTGTCAGTACACCGTAAATGCAACGCTATCAAGGATATACCCCAAACAAAATGTTGTCAAAACATTTGTACTCAAGCCAAACGGAGTCGGCATCAAGTCACCTTTAATACCAGTAAACTATCACCCTCCATAGAATGAAAATGTTGCTCTTATAAATAGGACTGACGGCGGCGAAAAATGATACGGATGCATTGTTAAAAGAAATGGTGCCACAGAGAAGCCAAAAATAATGTTATTATTCGAGAACACAAGTGTCTGATGAATAGGAACAACTACGACTAGCACCGTTTTCATCTTCTATGTTCCATCGTTTTCATAAGAAAGAGGCCACTCTGCTATTTCAAAACGCTACGAGTAAACTTGTCGATGGTTTGCCACTGGCTCACCAAACAAAGATAGCGCTAGGTGCAAAAAGCGCTATAGGTTGGGACACGCCCGGTCAAGCTCCAGGGTGGGTGCCTTAAAGGCCAACTCCGGCGATTTTTCGAGGTCAATGAATCTCAATGAAATTCGCTGGGTATGTTCCTTTGCACATTTTTGTGCTCTATGCCAAATCACATGTTTGAGTGATACACTGATTGTTTGCAAATCAATTTTAATTTCGATGGAGGCGGAAATGTTGTAGGCCCATGTGCTCAGATTTGGGTGCATGTTAAAGAACCCCAGGTGGTCTAAATTTCCGGAGCCCTCCACTACGGCGTCTCTCATAATCATATGGTGGTTTTGGGACGTTAAACCTCACAAAGCAATCAAACGAATGAATTTCGAAGATTACCTCAAAAGCTCACCTTCCTAGCCCGAATTACTGGCAACACTGTCTGAGTGACGTCATGTTTGGCATGTCAATGGAAGTGACGCAGCTTATGTCATCGCTACTTTGGCTGCTACAGCGTTTAATGTGCTTTCCACAAGGCGATGGTGGCGATGTTTGGCACGGGTATAGCACGGAAATATTTTGTTGCTTCCTCTGTGGTGTTTGACCGGTGCTTTGCTGGACTGGCCTTCACAGTTTTTATGCTCCGCACCGGCGGAACCAGTACGTGGCCTCCGGCTCTACCAAATAGTACGTCATACACAGACAGGGCACTTGGTTGGGTTTCAGTTTTGGTATTGCCCATTTTCGCTTATTAAAAATTAGTTTCAAATTTCTGAGCCTTTCACCATTGGGCTCGCCACAAGAATGTCTCAGGAACATAAAAACAACATAACCTTGACGTGGTCAAAAAGTCGCCGGAGCTGGCCTTAAAGTGAAGAGAGGGCACTCCCATAGGCTCCTTCGGCTTATTGGCGTTCGCAGCGCTCCTCACGGTCGTTGGAAACCTTCGCGGGCTCAGAGATTGGAAACCGCAATAAAGAATGTTTCGAAGGCTACTTTTTAGCAATTAGGAATATTGGAATTGCCTCCGAGACAACTATGTACGTGCTCATCTCTGAGGTCATACTTTATTTTTTTGAACGCGTTGTCTGCAAGCGTAGATTACCTTCGTGTAAGTTTCAATGCCAGAACGGCAAGTACACGCTGTCTCTGTGTATTTATAGCTTTGCACACATTTCAAATACAACAGTAGAATCGTTTGAGTAGCGATAACTTTTATTTTCAAGTTTGTAAATGTTTGATAAACCCGGGCACGAAAAGATAGGTTCGTTGCACTGCAAGACGCGCAAATACAGCTGCCATATTATGAGTTTGAATAACACACATGAAATAAACTTATAGGCAACACTAAAAATGAACACACAGAACAGTAAAACCGAAATAAATGCACACAACTGCACACACTGTGCACAACGCAACATGGCAGTCGTTGCCGCAGCACTAGACCACGGCATGAACCGAACAAAGAAAAGAAAATGTTAGCTACGTTTTTTTTCTCGCCTTCGTACAAATTTTCTCCTACGTTTATTTCACTTCGATCTTTTGCAAAAAACAGTCACAAGCAGTTGAAGCAAAATGAAAAACTGTCGCAGCAAAACAAAGCAATTTTACGTGTCATGCAAGCTTTTAACAAGGCAGAAGTGTTCACTGAAAACATACGCCCTATCCTTAACTACGAAACACGAACATATTTTTAGATTAACCACTTCTCTTTCATTGTCCTCATTAGAGCTTTAAGCGATTTGTGAATCTCACAGGCAACAATACTGAGCATAACTGCAGTTTTTGCAAGTATGTCACTGATGCAGTGAATTCGAATACATGTACCAGCCTTTCAAAAGAAACGTAACAACGCGAGCGCTGACTTACTTTAATGAGCGAAGGAATAATTTTCTTGCAAAGGCGCGGTGCGGCACATCAAACAGATTTTTTTTTCGTGAAAATGATACGCGAAAGGAACAGTGCAAAAATATTTCTTCACCGAGCGGCTCAATGCGATAAGTGCTGGTTTAAGGCTTTATTGACGAATACAATACATACGCACTTAACAAAATACTGATGGCGTTCTTACCTAGCCACCAATAAGGTCCCTAGATGAAACAAGGTAGCGTCACTCATTGTTCTCGAGCCGTCCTCCTCACTCTCTCGATTACTCCTCTTATTCTCTGATATCCGCGTCTGTAATTGGTGCATTACTTGCACGTGATCTTGCAAATGGCTGGTGGTGTTATTTATTATTATGCAAAAGGTTCAAAACGAGTACGCATGCGCATATGGCTCCAGCCGGATTCTCGCCGTGACCAAAGACAAAATCGTAGCCAGAACATAAACTGAAGAGGAGGAGTGTTTCGGTGTGCGCTAAGTCAACCAAGATTGTTTCGCCATGCTCGTTCAATGCAACATCTGC